GTAAATCTACAATATTGGAACTGAAGAGGCTTAGAAAGGTTTTCGAACTCAAACCAGAAAGACCAATGCGCCAGCTTGCTGCTAACAAATAATTTGATCCGCAGCTGTTTCATCGCTGCGTCTCTTCACGCCATCAAGGCAGCTGATAACTTCTCCGTCCTGCTCTGTTCTGAGATCGACGAGTTCAGGTAACTCTAGTACAGACGTCTTTCACTTCGTTAGCAGTGTCGCGAATGTTGGGGCCTTCCTCAAGGCGGCAGACGAAATCCTCAGGCGGCTGACGAAATCTAAAAGCGGCAGCCTAAATTCTCAGGCGCAGGCAAAAACGCGAAAGCAACAACGAAATCCAAAAGGTGGCAGCCAAATTCTTTCTTTCCCTTATTTCGCATACAAAGAGCAACCAACACAAAGCCCAAAAACACAGGGGCTAAAACATAGAAAGGTCAGCCCCAATTCCCTCCGAATCACATCCTCTTCGTGGAATTGGCCATTCCCGGACAGGCAGTCCAGTGTATGTGTCAGCAGTATCTGTTGTTTCCTAATAATAAACATGTGTTTGTCCATCTGTAAGATAAAATCGAACATTTTAAACTGCAAACGCTGGGCAAGCATGAAGCATGAAGAATGACTGCACTTCTCACTCATTCTTCCCTCCTTCCGCTTCTTAGCCCATGAGCTGCACTTTTTCCCATGGTTGTTTTGTTGAGCCAGCGAAATTTGTGGTTTCATATCGGCGTGATCTTTGTTGCTTTACAGTCAGGTGATTAAATCGATTTCAGTCGCACACAATGCTGCTACTCATAACGAGGTATTAAAAAACGGACGTTGAATTTCAGAAAACTTTGCTGGAAACGCTCTTATGTATATTTGCAGTGTTTTACGCTAGACTGTATACTGCCCTGAACGACGTTTTCATTCAGTGATGCATATATGAAAAGTGTCTGGACAAGCAGTCCGAGTATCCCGAGTTAGTGACGTTACTGTGATGTTCAAACACACCGCGCATAACTGTGCCAGATAGTGATACATAAGTAAATACAAGGAAACGCATGCTTCGCAGGAACGATTGGTAGTAAGTGGGCACAAGGTCCTCAGGGCTTACACGGCCAAAACTGTTCGACATGGATTCTAAACTGGTAATTCAACCCACTCCATTTCGGCACCCCTTCTGCAGCACCACCTGCCTCATTTTTTTATGGCAGCTGCAGGATTGGTCCTACAAAGAGAGAGTTCCTGGCAGTGCAGCTCTCCCATTCGGATCCTATGTCTTTCTGCAATTTTAAGGACGGATAATGATTTTATGCGGCGCGAAATGCATGATTTGTTTCATAGAAGTGCTCCGAAATGCTATAAAAAAGAATCAGTGACGCATGTTGTGTACGACAAATGACAATGCGGAGCAGATTTGTCCTCAAAAATTGTTTTTACTAAATCAGTGATGCGTGATCTTTGTAATCTGTATAAATTCAGTAGGAATTCATATGCCAGGCACCATACATTTATTCCGAATTCGTGTTCTGTCCTCATATGCCTCATATTTTGGTCGTCCACATTATAGTAACTTTTACATATTTATTTTTTGAAAAATCACTAGTGTTTGTGCTGTTCTTTTCGCTTGTTCAGAACGTATCTTTTTGCTTAAATGATAATAATATGACAGATGCCCAGCGCCGCTGTTCGGGTAATTCTAACTACTAAGCTAAGCACAGTAGCACACAGAACACCAAGTATTTCATTAAACTTTCAAGTTACTGCTTATATAGATTTTTAATGCAAATACAAAGGATACTAAGACCGACCGGATAGTTGCCATGGGGATCCCCTGTTAGTGGCGCTGGCGGGGAAGAGTCGCACGGTGCGTGCAATGAGAATTTGATAATTTTAGAACAAAACAATTCGGAAAAAAACTGGAATAAGAATGATAATCTAAATGGGTGCCAGGTACTAATACAATCATTAGCGACGCGCACTGGGCGGGTCCGTACGATCGTGCGTTTTTGCAGTATTTCGTGCTGTTGTAAAATCGATTGGAGACCCAGTAACTAGAATTTATGACACGCTGGTCCTCGAAGTTCAGGAAATCAATTGTGCAGTTACATGGTACTTGGAACATTTCCTCAAAATTTTAACTTCCTGTCTTTTCTGGTCCTCGAGTTGGCAATTTTCTCGCCAAAAATTTTCGCGGGGCCGTATATACGAACCACACATACCTTGAGACTGAATTTGAAAACTTTAAGTTGTAAGTGGGCTAGGAACATCTAAAAATTTCAGTCTCTTTGCTTTCCCGGTTTCCGAGTTAGCGACTTTCTCGCCAAAAACTTTCACGGGTCGCACGCGGAAACCACGCATAGCTGAGAGCTGAATTTGAAGTCTTTGAGTTCTATTTGTATGGGGAACATAACCTCAAAGTTTCAGCTTTCTATCTTTCCTCGTTCCGGAGTTAGCAGTTTTCCCATCAAGACTTTCACGCGCTCGGACGCAGCACCTAGAAATGCATGAGGGTTGGCACCGCGGTCCTGCGATGACACTTGGCTAAGGAACCCAATGGCAAAATTTTAGCGCCAGAGCTTGCACGGCTGCCGAGTTGCAATACTCGGCTACACACAAACATATGCACAAACGCCGGGATCGTCACAGTATGCATTTTTTCATATGCATGTATGCAAAATCTCATAAATATGAAAGCATATCATGCCGGAAATAGCGACGACGCATATGTATTTTCGCATTTAAACCCAGGCTTGAACGCACCAAGCTTGCCGGTGTGATCATGCGTTTTTGTACTAAACTCGCAGATCGTTAATAGCAGGAATGATCCCTGCGCTGTAACATACCACTTGGGTTCATATTGGCCGTGCTTTGGCCCCTTTCGGCATGCAGGAGAAAGGGCTCCGGTCGGGATGGAGGTGTTGCATTATACGACCGCATGGATCTCTAAGTATATGATTATCAGTTTCTATGCATCTTTGCATGCATGAAAATTATAAAAATGCATATTGCGATGGCCCTGTCTGTGAGTGTATGTTTGTGTGTGTGTGTGTATGTGTGTGTGTGTGTGTATTCGTTTGCCCGGGTATTTCAATTCGGCAACCAAGCAAAGTCAGGCGTCAAAATTTTGCCAGTTGGTTCCCCGGCCATGTACCACCCCGGGTCACAATACCTACCCTCGCGCACGTCCGGGCCCCGCGTACAAACGCGTTAAAATTTTGGCGGGAAAATTGCTAATTCGGGAACAAGAGCTTGGTGGTCCCCGCTCACAGGAGTCGAAGATTTCAAATTCAGCCCCCAGGCATGCGTTGTTCCCACGTGCAGTTCCATAAGGGTGAAAACGCGAAAGCGTGAAAATCGCTAACTTCGGAACCAGCAAAGCTAAGAGGCTGAAGTTTCAAGGGATGTTCCCGACTCATTTACAACCTAAAATCATGAAATTCAACCCCCGGGCATATGTGGTTCTCAGTACGGCCCCGTGAAAATTTTTGGCGGGGAGAATTGCTAACTCGAGACCCAGGAAAGCCGGAAGGCCGGAATTTTAAAGGGATGTCCCATTAAATTAAACTTATCAAATACAGCCACCGGATGCGAGTAATTCTCATGCACGGGCCTGTGAAACTTTTGGCGGGAAAATTGCTAATTCTGGGATCGGAAAAGCTGTAAAACTGGAACTTTAGGAGAAAATTCCCCGTCCAAATAAATCTTAAAGGTGTTAAAGCCTCCAGGTATGTTTGGTTCTCGTCTACGGGCACTCAAGTTTCTTGGCGTGGAAATTGCTCGTTGAACAGCTGAATCATTTTCAAAAAATGACCGGCAAACGAAGTTGCTATTTTCGTTTATGCAAAATTTACGATGATTCACTGTATTGAGCACACAAGGTAGGTGTGAAGCAGAAACTGTTCATGCAGTTAATCTAATTGCTTCAAGCTTATTCCTAAAGCGCGTGATCGCACCGGCAAGGCTGGTGCGTTCCGGCCTGGGTTTGCATGAAGCCCTTCGTTTCTCTGGTAAATGCGCTCTTTGAAAAAATGCGTGTTTCCAGTTCACTGAAAAGTAGAAATTTTGCTAAACCGGTCGTTTGTCAAAAAATTCAAATACATTTACATGTAAATGAATTCATTTACATGTTGGGAGAGGATGAGGGCGGCCGTTTGTTGCAAAACGCACTCGTTCCTGACTTCTCGGTAAAGTTGGTTATTTCTCACGCCCACCTGCGTGAAATTTCTCTTCCAAGCGGATTGAGAATAGAATATCCCAGCAAAATTTCAGCGTCAAACTTTATCCGGTAAACGAAATATCCACTTCGCTAAAAATATCTTTGAAGTGCGTCCCAGCAAGTTTTCGAATCAAAACTTCAGCCATTGTTTTTCCAGCAAGTTTTCGAATCAGCACAGTACCAAGTTGCAAACTTCTACGCGACCACGCACGTTGCACAAGCGTGCGCTACAGCTGAATTTGAAGTCTTTAGCACGCACGTGCACAGAGAATATCCCTGTAAATTCTCAGCCTTGTACCTTGCCTGGTTCGCGAAGTTGTTCCCCGCCAAAGAAATCTGCATATTCTTTCCGGGTTCCGTACGCGGGACCTAGGCCCTTATGAGCGAAAGTTTAAAAACCGAAGGATGACACACGGAGTTGGAACATAAACCCAAAATTTCAGCCTCCCAACTTCCCTGGTTGGTGAGATGAAAGTGGGTGGGTGACAAAGTTCACTCGCTTTCGAACACAGGCGCATTAAAATTTTAGAAAAGGTTTGACAAATACTAAATAAAGCACTTCGAAAGCGCACAGATGCTTTATGGTGCCATAGGTAAGAAGTGTGCAGAAAGCTAGCAATGGTCTCTGGACAACATGTTTGTTCCAACCGGTTCCACTTCGCTGTGCTCTACACTTCCTCCAGAGAATTATCATGATTCATATCCCTTTCCGCTATCAGGGCAATATGGCTTGTTATTCCACATTTCCTTTCATTCTTTGTGCAACTTGCTGGACATCGCAATGCTTTACACTATGTTTTATTTGTTCCTAAGCTTCATGGAGTTTTCATATGTACAAGCAATGCAGTGGGCTACAATACGTGTGCATCCCGCATTGTTTATTTCACAAGAAGTCAGCATGATTTGTGTATTGGCCGTGAATTTAGAATGTGGATGTAAACTGGCGTCTAATCTTTACTTTTTCAGCATGCAAAAGAGATTCAGCATCACCAGTGTATTCTTTATTTTCACGGCGTTTTCTTCCACATATGCAGCAGTAAGTTCTCCGATTATGTTTTTATGTGTTTTATGCGTAACAACTGTACGAAACTCATATTGTCATATCACGTGTTCGACTGCGTTTTATCCCCCACTTTCAACTCAAGAACCAGTAAAGCTATGAGGCTGCAATTTTAGAAGAATGTATGTGACCTGGCAAGTCCAAATTCAGCTTCTGGAATATC